CAAAAAAATAGGGATATAGCAATTACAGAAAAGGCCAAGTTACAGTATTTTTGTTAGTGATTACTAACCAAATGAATGAGGTTCTCAAAATTTGGTCAATAAAAAATAAATAAGAAGAAGATAAAGAAAATAAAGATAAGAAAGAAAAAAAAGTGGGTAAGGCAAGGGGCGTCACGATTTCCCAGATCTCTAGTATATTGTATATAGATGAATATTGTAACCAAGGTTGCCATGTATTTTCAAAATGTTATTGTTGATCATGACCCAATTTAACTTTTGGATGACAAATACTACTACTGACTGATTCTGACAACATGCAATGGCTTTTCTAGCGGCCGGGATTATATAAGAAATCATGTTTCTGGTATGTTTAGGAAGACTCATATCACATTTCTGAAAATTAGCAATTTCAGGAGATCTAATAAAATTTATGCCTGTAATTTTATGGATAAAGCCAGTTTCTGCCCACAGGGATAAAAACATTCCTAATGTACAGCTACCTTCTAGTTGCTAGAAAGCAAGCAATTGGCCACATGTGCAGTGCACACTCTATGCCAGCTGGAGTACAGGGGTCAGAGTATGGGTGCAGGGCAGTACACCCATTCTACGGCATGCATTAGGAACAGGAGAGGGTACAAAGTTCTCCATCCATGCCCTGGGAGCTGTGAACTAAACCAGCCTGTCTGTTCTGACCTGTGCAAACACCCACGGGCCAACTGATCTTGGAGTAAATAATCAACACTCACAGTGGGTTTTTGATGGCATTATCCCTCTGAAAATAGGCCAGAGTCAAGGTTCTGCTCAAAAAATAGGAATGAGGTTCTGGTTCGCCACTATGTTCATGGCAAATACTCAGGATTAACGAAATGACAAAATGACAGAGAACTCTGCTGTTTCCTGCCCAGAAATAAGGAACCTTCTTTATTGCTGTGCATAGCCTTTGGTCAACCAAGGGACAATAATTCACAGACATAGATAACCCAGCCCCCCAGTTTAAAAGGGTAGGCTCACAGCAGCCATATTCTCAATGTGTGTTGGATCTGTTAGGGCGAGCTGACAATTCTTTATATACTTTTTCATAATTGGCACATGGCAGTGCTTGGTTCCCTGTAACAGTTCTCAGCTTCCCATGCCTTTTGTACAACCATAGCTTGTTTATTGGTCCTCATGTACATGAGCACGAGTACAAACGTGGCAAAGTGCAACTGCGGTACTACGTTTTTGCAGCAATTTGCGTTTCCCAGCAGGTGGTGGTCAGAGTACGCTTGTGTACATGAAGCCTTAGACCTGCAAATGGTCTCAAATGAATAACTAGATTTGCCTTGTATACACTTCTTATCTGAAGCCCTGATAAAGAGGAAGTTTTTAATGAGCCCCGAACTTAAAAAAGATTTTGGACTCTTTTATCCTTTGGTCTGGTGCTCCTTCCATTACTGCATGCTTTTCTTCTGGGAACCTGCTGGGGTACCCACTGGTCTACCAAACCTACCTAACCTGAGCTAGTGAGCTGCCCAAATGTTTTTGCCCTCTCACTACTTTGTATGAACTTACATCAAAGTCCTAGTGCCTCTTGAGCTCTTGTCCTGTGCGTTATGACCTTTTGGATCAATGCAATTAAAGTGTGAGACAGAATGTAATTTCATGCCACTAAACAATGTAGGAAATACAGTGAAATACTCATAACACATGCAAATACATTGGAAAAGTGCAAACATTTGAATGTGCATATATACTTTGTAAAACACCTACAAGAGTACATAGCCCAATTACCAAGTCAGACATACAATATCTGCTATAGTGCTATAGGCATTGGGTTGGGACAGATAAGTCGCCTATTTTGCTGGGTTATGTACCCTGATTAGTCTCGTATCATTTAGTCTAATAGCATACTTGACTAGCTGATTGTTTTAATGTTGTCTTTCCTGGAATCCCGCCTTGCAAATAAATAGTTTTACTATGTACTTTAGCCTGCAGCTATACCTATAAGAGACAACAGACTGCCTCATTAATTTTGGACGCTGTGTTTATTTGAGAGTAAAATAGACGTTTTGTTGTAAAAAACAGACATTTAGGGATGAAATATGTGCTGACTAGAGTACATTGTGAAAGTAAATATTGTGTTTTTATGATTAGCACGAGTAGATAGTAACAAGCACGATACACAGCAGGCACCATAAGGTATCACTGTGGTCCCTAGTCACCCTGATCTAATGCTATAGCTTTTCAAATAATCTATTCACTCCCCTTTTCTCCTATAATGCTGCGCTTGGTGCCTGGCTGACCTATCATTAGGACCATGCAGTCACATGGGGTGCCCAGTTTATACAAATACCAACTTATAGAAAATCAGTATTTGCTCCTTAGTCGCTCCTACCCTCCTACCACAAGTAATAGCCCTGAAAATCTTTAAACCTTGAAAACCTGTGCCCTGTGATTTCAAGTTTTATCATTGGTGTTCAATGGAACAGGATGAGTGGAAATACCCCAGAGCTGAACATACCATCCAACATTCCAAAGTGGGCAGAATTCCAGATGCAAACTATGGTGAAGAGATTCCAACTTTTGTTTCTGAATGATTGTCCAACGCAGGAACTGTTTCAAAATATGGAAGATCCCTACAGGCTTGAAAATATAAACTGTCATATTTAAGGTGACCAAACACAAGTACAATTTTGTACAAAACTTTTCATCATAAGAACATTCTTTCAATTTTCTCATTAGTGGGGTCAAATTGATGATCTTTTTGACTTCAGTGATAAGAAAATAAATGAAATTACATTCATTTCAAAATTGAATGTTAAAAGCAAACAGAATTTTGAAGTACTTTTGAACAACATTCGTCAAGTCATCAAATGTACTTAGAATATTTGTACAAATGTTTATATAAATATATTCATAGGGATGTTTGTTTGGAAATCTATTAGTGTATGCCTAGCTTTACAAAGGCCTTTCACATCCTGCAGGTCTGTGGCTTCAATTGCAAGCTGAACTGTGGCCCATGTCATAGAACTAATCTATCTAAAATTGGGTTGAATTGTTACTTTGCAACTCTTAGATGCTAATTTCCGTTCCAGGAACACGATGTGCAGATGTTATGGTTATCATGTATTTTAGTACGTTTAAGTTTTTGGTCTCCTCCACAACCCACAACCATAGGTTAATTGGTTTCCATCCAAACTGGCTCTAGCATACATTGGTGACTGTCTGCGTTACTGTAAAAGGGAAATTGGACTGGAAGTTCCTCGTGGTGTCAGGAACTAACAAAACCATTAAATTGTTTTGCAGAGCCCTGTGGTGCATGTTGACATCATGTAATGCAATAACATAAAAACATTTGTGGTGACTTTTAACATCATCTTATTGTAAAACGATAGTCTGCCCTGTACTTAGACTGGAATAGGTACTGAAGGTCTTTCTGTACTACATCTGTTTGCATTTTGCATTATTTTCTGGGGCATGATAGGAGGGCCCCCCTCTCAGCTGAAAAATTAGAGCAGGCCAGATAATGAGGAACATACTGAGATTCCTCAACTTATTCATGGAATGTCACAAAATGAATGCAGATCGGCAGCAGGAAGGAGGAAACTGAGCATTTAACAGGCGTCCAGTAGAAGTGGCTCTCAATGTGATCACGCATAATCAAATAATAACAAAACTTTAGCTGTGGAATGCTAGAAAGCTAAGTTCTGACTCATAGCTCTACAGCACCCAAATAGCACAAGACTCTAAATTAAGAACACTTCCCAAAATAGAACACTCTAGGAGAGCAGTCCCTACAGTCAGAAACTCCAGGTAGTGGAGGCACAAAAGGTCGGAATGCAGGGGCATATCCACAGAGATTGCTGTGAGAAAACCAATCATATTTCATGTGTGGAATGTAAATCTACACAGAGTTAGCGGGATTTGGAGGCTTTCAAGGTACACAAACATTGGTCTGTGAACCAGTTTAAGCTGGTATCAACCATGAAGATCCCTAATAATGTGTAATTTGGCTGCTAGAAGCTGGGACATTTCTTACCCCATGCTGCTGTAGGTCAAATATTATGAATTCTTGCTCTGCAGATGAAAGTTCATGAACAATAGAGAGGGCCCGGCTGGACAACTGACCACCGGTGCTGATGGCCACTATCACTGAGTGTTCTGCAATTCCAGGTTCAAATGAGTTTTTTCAGGAGGTGTTTAATGGAAAAGCTATTATACTACTTTGTGATAGAGTATCTAAAAAAGGAGTGCATGTTCAGTAAACATGGATCATTACACTTTAGCACATGGATTTTGCCACAGGTTTTTGTGATGCACATAATGCCATTTCATAAAAAAGCAGTAAAGCTGGCCTGGTGACAGTAAGTTTCACCTGAGATTTAGGGTTAGTATTAGGGGAAAAAATGTTAGTGCTAATGAATGTTAGGGTGTTCTCGAGGAAATAATCCATACACATCCTCTATATCATGGGTGCTCAACCTGTGGCCCTCCAGGTGTTGCAGAACTACGAATCCCATGAGGCACTGCAAGGCTGACAGTTACAAAAAATCACTCCCATGATGGTACTTGTAGTTCTGCAACAGCTGGAGGGCACCCATGCTCAATGGAATGGCCTTATAATTTATTTGAATGAAATTCTTTCTTACTGTGTTTTTCTGCCAAACATCTCCTTTGCCCCCACACTTCCATCTGTTCAGAACAAGCAGTGCAGGTTAGAACACAACTAATGAAGGTTTAAACCAAAGATAAAGTGGAAAAAACGGTATTCAAGCGCATAAATAATCACGGGCTCTGTAAAAAGTCTAAATAAACCAATCCATGATTATCACCATTAAGGGACTCCACTTGTGAATGATGATATTACTGCACTCACTAGATTTTTAGTTCATAACGCAGCCACCAGCGCATATGTAATAATCACAGTCTCTTCTGTATGGACCTCGAACTCCAACCACACTCATGAGCTTTCTTGATGGTAACATTACACAACAATCAAGGATGCTGGGCCATGTGCAACGTCAAGCTAAAGCCTTGTTTTCTTCTAGTCTCCTGATCTGGCCTTTCCACAGTGAGGCTGGATGTCCATCTGCAAAGCTCCAGCCTGGAAGATCTGTCAATGGCCCATTCTTGAAATTAATCCAAGCAAATCCATGCTTGTTTCTCCAGTCTTGTCCTGCAAAGAGCACAGCACTGTTCTGTAAGTTTCTTTTAAATGTGCATGATACAGATGTCCTGTGCACTCCCCATTGCATGCATGCCACTGTTTTGATCCCCCTCTTCCATTCTTCCAGGTATTGGAAAGTGGTTTCCAGTTCTGGTCTTTAGGTGACAGGATCTAGAGTATAAATTACATTTTGTCCATTGACTGCTCCTTAACAGGGGCACAGACTGCACTAAAAATTGACAAGCATTCTAATCCCTCTTCACTCTATCAAAAACTAAAAAAAAAAGTTTTGCCTTTAGTTATACTTTAAAGCTAAATGAATGGATCTTAATCATTAGATACAGTATTTCATATTTACAGTTGCAAGAAAAAGTATGTGAACCCCTTGGGATTACGTGGAGTTTTGCATGAATTGGGCATAAAATGTGCTCTGAACGTCATCTAAGTCACAACAATAGAAGAACACAGTCTGCTGAACATAATACTACACACACACATTAGATGTTGCCATGGTTTAATTGCACATAACATGTAAACATTCACAGTGCAGGGAGGAAAAAGTATGTGAGGCCCTAGCTTAATGACTTCTCCCAGAGCTAATTGGAGCCAGGAGTGAGCCAACCTTGACTCCAATCAGTGTGATGATATTGGATGTGTTGCTGACAGCTGTCCTGCCCTTAAAAAACACACACCTGTTTTGGGTTTACTGGTTTCAAGAAGCACTGTCTGATGTGAACCATGCCTCGCAGAAAAGAGCTCTCAGAAGACCTACGATCAAGAATTGTTGACTTGCATGAAGCTGGAAAGGGTTACAAAAGTATCTCCAAAAGCCTTGATGTTCATGTGTCCACGGTAAGACAGACTGTCTACAAATGGAGAAAGTTTAGCACTGTTGCTACTCTCCCTAGGCGCGGTCATCCTGTAAAAATGACTGCAAGAGCACAGCGCAGAATGCTGCATGAGGTAAAGAAGAATCCCACAGTGTCAGCTAAAGACCTACAGAAATCTCTGGCACATGCTAACATTTTTGTTGACACATCTACAATAAGGAAAACATTAAACAAGAATGGAGTACATGGGAGGACACCACGGAGGAAGCCATTTCTGTCCAAAAAGAATATTGCAGCACGTTTGAAGTTTGCAAAAGAGCACCTGGATGTTCCACAGCACTACTGGCAAAATATACTGTGGACAGATGAAACCAAGATTGAGTTGTTTGGGAAGAACACACAACACTATGTGTGGAGAAAAAAAGGCACAGCACACCAACATCAAAACCTCATCCCCACTGTAAAACATGGCGGAGGGAGCATCATGGTTTGGGGCTGCTTTGCTGCCTTAGGGCATGGACGGATTGTTGTCATTGATGGGAAATGAATTCCAGAGTTTATCAAGACATTTTGCAGGAAAACGTACGACCATCTGTCCACCAACTGAAGCTCCGCAGAGGATGGGTGATGCAACAGGACAATGACCCAAAGCATACAAGTAATTCAACAAAACAATGGCTGCAACAGCACAGAATACGCCTTCTGGAGTGGCCCAGTCAGAGTCCTGACCTCAACCCGATTGAAATGCTGTGGCATGACCTTAAGAGAGCGATTCACACCAGACATCCCAAGAATATTGCTACATTGAAACAGTTTTGTGAAGAGGAGTGGTCCAAAATTACTCCAGATCGTTGTGCAGGTCTGATCTGCAACTACAGGAAACGTTTGGTTGAGGTTATTGCTGCCAAAGGAGGGTCAACCAGTTATTAAGTCCAAAGGTTCACATACTTTTTCCTCCCTGCACTGTGAATGTTTACATGTTATGTGCAATTAAACCATGGCAACATCTAATGTTTGTGTAGTATTATGTTCAGCAGACTGTGTTCTTCTATTGTTGTGAATTAGATGACGTTCAGAGCACATTTTATGCCCAATTCATGCAAAACTCCACGTAATCCCAAGGGGTTCACATACTTTTTCTTGCAACTGTATGTATTTTTTTCTGTCTGTTGATCTATGTGAGCTGCATGTTCAGAGAAAAGGTGACAAAATGGCAGTTGACAGTTTTCTTCTATGGATTTACTAGACAGGATAACTGCTGTTGGGTCATATTGTTCCGCACTATGCTATTTTCATGTGAAATCTCTTCTGACCTGATAATCTTTTCAAACTTTTAAAATGTGTCTCCTTTAAAGTGTATTTATAGTCCGTTTCAGTTTTATATAAGAGCAGATATTGCAAGATGCCTCCTGTTACAGTTATTCCTCTAGAAAGCTTCTGTGCTCTGCTCTGATTCAGTTTAACTATTTACTGTGCCATTACTTTTCCTGGCTTTATGCCATTTTCTTTGTTAGCAAGGAAAGTTCATCTTTGGTTTAGTTTCTCCTTATTACTAGGTCCTAATTTTTGCAGATTTCAGCCCTAAGCACCAACCTTTCCAATCCAGAGTCCAATTAAACGTCACTTAGTGGCCAGCAAGGATACTCTAAATCAGCGGTTCTCAACCTGGGGGTCGCGACCCCTTTGGGGGTCGAACGACCATTTCCCAGGGGTCGCATAAGATCATCGGAAAACACATATTTCCGATGGTCTTAGGAACCGAGACACCGCTGCTGTCTCCGGCGATGTGTGGGCGGGATGATATGCTGCCCCTGTCACCGCCTCCTCGCCGCTGATTGGCCACCGGAACTGTAGCTCAGGAGAGGCACACAGGCGGCCAATCACCGGCGAGAAGGTGGAGCTTGGAGAGGAGGAGCCGAGCGGCAGCGCGCGGAGATCGAAGAAGATCGAGGGAACTGCAGGAACGAGTGAAGAGGGAGGCCAGAGAAGGAAGACAGCTGACAGGTAAGTGCAAATTTTGCTGCTGCAGCCAGGTATGCAGGCTGTAGATGGGAGAGGGAGAGAGCGAGCCCAGGCTGGAGCAGGAATCAGCAAGGTAAGTATCATTGGTGTCAGTGGAAGGGATAGTGCCCCATCATTTGTGTCACTAATACCAACGATGGGGCACTATTCCTCCCCCCACTGACACCAACGATGGGGCACTATTCCTCCCCCCACTGACACCAACGATGGGGCACTATTCCTCCCCCCATTGACACCAACGATGGGGCACTATTCCTCCCCCCACTGACACCAACGATGGGGCACTATTCCTCCCCCCACTGACACCAACGATGGGGCACTATTCCTCCCCCCACTGACACCAACGATGAGACAGTATTCCTCTCCTCACTGACACCAACGATGGGGCACTATTCCTCCCCCCACTGACACCAACGATGGGGCACTATTCCTCCCCCCACTGACACCAACGATGGGGCACTATTCCTCCCCCCACTGACACCAACGATGGGGCACTATTCCTCCCCCCACTGACACCAACGATGGGGCACTATTCCTCCCCCCACTGACACCAACGATGGGGCACTATTCCTCCCCCCACTGACACCAACGATGGGGCACTATTCCTCCCCCCACTGACACCAACGATGGGGCATTATTCCTCCCCCCACTGACACCAACGATGGGGCACTATTCCTCCCACTGACACCAACGATGGGGCACTATTCCTCCCACTCATACCAATGATGGGGCACTATTCCTTCCACTGACACCAATGATGGGGCACTATTCCTCCCACTGATACTAATGATGGGGCACTATTCCTCCCACTGACACCAATGATGGGGCACTATTCCTCCCACTGACACCAATGATGGGGCACTATTCCTCCCACTCATACCAATGATGGGGCACTATTCCTCCCACTGATACCAATGATGGGGCACTATTCCTCCCACTCATACCAATGATGGGGCACTATTCCTTCCACTGACACCAATGATGGGGCACTATTCCTCCCACTGATACCAATGATGGGGCACTATTCCTCCCACTGACACCAATGATGGGGCACTATTCCTCCCACTGACACCAATGATGGGGCACTATTCCTCCCACTGATACCAATGATGGGGCACTATTCCCCCCACTCATACCAATGATGGGGCACTATTCCTCCCACTCATACCAATGATGGGACACTATTCCTCCCACTGACACCAATGATGGGACACTATTCCTCCCACTGACGATGGGGCACTATTCCTCCCCCCACTGACACCAACGATGGGGCACTATTCCTCCCCCCACTGACACCAACGATGGGGCACTATTCCTCCCCCCACTGACACCAACGATGGGGCACTAATCCCTCCCCCCACTGACACCAACGATGGGGCACTATTCCTCCCCCCACTGACACCAACGATGGGGCACTATTCCTCCCCCCACTGACACCAACGATGGGGCACTATTCCTCCCCCCACTGACACCAACGATGGGGCACTATTCCTCCCACTCATACCAACGATGGGGCACTATTCCTCCCACTCATACCAATGATGGGGCACTATTCCTTCCACTGACACCAATGATGGGGCACTATTCCTCCCACTGATACTAATGATGGGGCACTATTCCTCCCACTGACACCAATGATGGGGCACTATTCCTCCCACTGACACCAATGATGGGGCACTATTCCTCCCACTCATACCAATGATGGGGCACTATTCCTCCCACTGATACCAATGATGGGGCACTATTCCTCCCACTCATACCAATGATGGGGCACTATTCCTTCCACTGACACCAATGATGGGGCACTATTCCTCCCACTGACACCAATGATGGGGCACTATTCCTCCCACTGACACCAATGATGGGGCACTATTCCTCCCACTGACACCAATGATGGGGTACTATTCCTCCCACTGATACCAATGATGGGGCACTATTCCTCCCACTCATACCAATGATGGGGCACTATTCCTCCCACTGATACCAATGATGGGGCACTATTCCTCCCACTCATACCAATGATGGGGCACTATTCCTTCCACTGACACCAATGATGGGGCACTATTCCTCCCACTGACACCAATGATGGGGCACTATTCCTCCCACTGACACCAATGATGGGGCACTATTCCTCCCACTGACACCAATGATGGGGTACTATTCCTCCCACTGATACCAATGATGGGGCACTATTCCTCCCACTGATACCAATGATGGGGCACTATTCCCCCCACTG